CAGCATTCCTCTTCATAGGAAGGTGATTCATTGTGCCGAGTCGATAGACTCATTGTTACATGGTGTTGGAATGAAATGAGTAACGTTGATAACGTTGCGTCTTATCACGATGTGAAAGTCAGATAAATAAGTTTCCGAAAGGTTACAGAGCTTTTGTTGGCAGGGCGGCCTATTCTGGGACCTTTGAGGAAGTGGCAGAGGAGGAGTGGGAGATCCTGAAGAAAAATTACTGTGAAGTCTTATGGTGCACAGCAACTGAAAAGCATCTCAGCTGATCTACTGGGACAAGAAATCAGAAGAGTAATGAGCTTGGTGCACTAATAATAGTCCAGGAGGGAGGTGGGATGGTGAGCACCATCCAAGTGCCCACGGGGTATGCTATCTTCAGAAGGGTGAGGTATTCACAGTGAACGGGTACGCTCAGATCTCCCAAGCTTACATGTTTCAGTAAATGGAGAGGGGCAGAGGAAGAAGAAGGAGTCACAGGTTATTCGGGGTGGAGAACAGTCCTAGTCTGTCAAAAACATGAGTTCCCGCTGACAACGGCCACATGATAATGCCCAAAGCCCAACATAGAACAAACCAAGCAACTGTCTACAGATACCTCCATGTGCCATATGTAGGTAGGATTAGGCATGAGTGTGAAATGTCATCACATTTGATTTTGCTGCCATATTAGTGCTAAGCAAAGTTTTGCCAAAATTGGCCAAAAAATGCCAGTAAATAGAAGCTTGCATACACGCTATAGGTTGGACTTGAAAGACCCGTGTCTTTATTCAACCTCAAATACTATGTAACTATGTAGCTTCAAAAAACAACTATAAAGTGAGAAAAACTCTCAGAAAACTAAGAAAAAAAAAGGCCTTTTGAAGTCTTTAAAACCCGTAAAAATGCCCCAAGTGACTATAATTCCTCATTGACCCCAATGCAATCTTCCTATTGGTAAAATTTTACTGAAATTTTGGCAAATTGGAATTTGGCTCCTGCCTGTCCAGGATTAGAGAATGCAGTGTGTTCACTGTAAGGGTGTTGGGGGGTCAGTTATGTTTAGGGCTTGGGTTTAAAGTCGAGTTTCTGGGGTTTGGGTGAAATGAAATGGTTTGGGGTCAGTTTTCAGCATTTCCATTCATAGTTTATATGTATCAGAGAAGTATAGAAGTGTCCTGTATACAGCTGCATGAAACTAGGCCGACATTGGGGTCATTTCAAAAGGTTATTTTCCCTAGTCCAGGGATAGGCAACCTCGACATCCCAGCTGCATCTACAATTACCCCTAGGGATGTACCGATACCGGCATTTTGGTACCGAGATTTTTTTCCCCCCCGGTATTCGCCGATTCCAATTACCGAGTACCGGAAGTCCCATTCAGGAAGCCAGGCGGCGTGTAATGACTCGCCACTTGGCTTCCTGATTAGCCGGGAAGCGTGTAATGACTCGCCAACCCGGCTTCCCGATTAACAAGAAAGCCGCCCCGTGCTTCTCGTCACTAAGTGACGAGGGAGCATGGAGCCGGCTTGCTGGCCAATCATGGAAGCCGGGCGCCGTGTAATGACGCGGCGCCCCTGCTTCCTGACTGGCCGGGAGGCCGGCTCCATGCTCCCACGTCATGAGATGCAGAGCGCTGCGTCATTACACGGCGCCCGGCTTCCTGATTGGCCGGGAAGTCGGCTCCATGCTCTCTCATCACAAGTGACGAGGGAGCATGGAGCCGCCTCCCGGGCCAATCAGGGAACCGGGCAGCGTGTAATGACGGGCTGTCCAGCTGCCTGATACAGGGAGTATCGGTCTAGGCATCGGAGCATTTGGGCAAGTACGAGAACCCGCCTAAAATACTCGGTATCGATACTAGTATCGGTGCATCCCTAATTCCCAGTTGGGGAGTCATGCCTGTGTCTGTCACAGTCCTCCAATGCCCCATGGGACTGGTAGTTGCACCACAGTTGGTGTGACGAGGTGGCCTACCCCAAACCAAAGCCACGTATGTGTTCTGTGCGAAGAGGCTGATATCTGATCCCAGCTATGGACAGGAACAGGTCAATAGGGACCTTTTGAGGAACATATTCCCCCCGAAGATCCTTCGCTAGGGCCCGCGCCCGGTGCGCACGCTGTAGAGTTCCTGCAAAGAGCCTTTCAATTGATGACCAGAAGATAAAATATCATCTTTATTACCAGGAAACAAGCGTCCTCCTTGCCGCTGCCTGGAATTCGGCTTAACTCTGCAGAGGGGAATGTTCAATATCCTCCCACCGAACACTCACATGTAATCCTATCATCGGAGGAGGTGGATTGGTGCCAGGAGGACACCGACTAACCCTCGGCTTATTCCGCCAGGATGGTGACACAACGTCTTATTAATGGATCGGTGAGAGACAACGAGGTTTATGTGATAAGTGACTAATTACTATCCATGGAAATGAATCAGCCGAATATTTAACCTTCTGGACTCTACCGGCCAACAGACAATGTAAACTTTGGTTTTGGCTCTGACGTTGTCCACCAAATTTGGGTCAAATAATGTAGATGTCCAATGTTAGTATAAATATTCAGCACAAGAACTTCTCATATCACGGTAACAGCCGCTGCCTATGAAGGGAAGGAGACGTTACCGCCACCAAGAAGTGGTTCTTTATGGTCAGACTGGAATGTCCCCATGAGGAGGTAGTGCCGGGCAATCAGTCATGGATTGTGCACCTCCCGGGGTGGGTTTTTCTTCTTCTCATAACTGCATCCATAATCACGAAACCTCATTTGGGATCCCAGGAATTCATTTAACTGCCTTTGGGGTCAGGAACTTTTATTTTGTTTTGCTTTCTTTCCCGCTTCCTCATTTTTTTTCCAACACTAGGACTGATCCTGCAATTATGGCCGGCAGGTTCCCTCACTCGGCAATGAGAATGAAGGAAATAACTGGAATATATTCGGACTATAGATTGATTACAAAGAAATGAGACTGTCACAGGTCGGTTCAGTAGATCGGGAGTAGATCCCGTCAGAGGAAGATTTCCTCTGACCGGCAGTGCCACAAGGGAGCATCGAGCGGGCTTCCTGGCCAATCAGCATCAAGCCGGCTGGACAACATAGACGACTTCCCGGCCAATCAGGAAGCCGGGGGGGAGGGGTGGGGGTGCTTTCTGATTGCCCGGGAAGTCGTCTCGATGCTCAACATTACAAAACCACCTTGCTGATCTCTACATAGAGAGCGTAATGGAAGACGATGTGCAACGGCAGCCAACCAGTGTCGCAGGCTCACGCAGAGTGCAGACAGCAAGGCTTGACCTGGACAGAACCCGCACTAGTCGCCAGGAACATATTCCAGCTCTCCAAAAAAGGTATTGGCTGGGAAGGCGGCTCCCCGGCCAAACTGCATGGAGCCAGCTTTCCGGGCAATCAAGAGGCCCGGCGGCGGGTAATGACACGCTGCCTGGCTTCCTGATTGGCCGGGAAGCTGGCTCCATGCTAGCCGAAGTACCGGTATCGGCGAGTACCGAAAGATAAATATCGGTGCATCCCTAGAACAAACCTTACGCATTGTTTGAGAGAAAGTGCATCACCTCACCCATGCAAGGCACAGTGACGGTGTCTCTGCAAAGGCCTCCCTAACCGCACTTTGCCTTAGCTTCCTCACCTACCTTCCTCCGTTGTAGCTGACACCGCCCCATGCTCCCTGCCACAGGAAGTGGTATCAGCTGAGAGTATTGAACCAATCGAAAAGCATTTAGATACCTTCCTCAGAGACTGCACCGTACAGGGGGACAGGTACTCTTATATACATGACCACACAGGGACTCGTGTGCACACACACACACACACACACACTCCCATACAGACACACAATAGGTTGAACTTGATGGACCCGTGTCCTTATTCAACCTCACATACTATGCCACTATGCTTTGGGGGGGGGCATGTGACCAGCTCCCCTGTGACTTGGGGGTCACATGAGGGAATTACATCACTGCTTATATGGGTTGCTGGCACCACTGCTGCAACAGAGGAAGGGGTTAGGGGGGGGGAAGCGCAGGCAATGTGAAGGGGTCGGGGTACCTCTATGAACCATCATTTAGGGGTTCTTTCACACGGCCACAGAGGCTTCGGGAAGATCCGTGCAGCCGTGGCGTGATTTTATTCGATGGCCGCGGTGGCTGCACGGATCACCTGGGATTCTTGAACGCCCCCCCGAGCACGCATGTACAGCCCTCTGTGTTTGGGTGAATGAGCCCGTCGCGCACATAACGGCGTGCCACGCCACCAGGTAACGTAACTCAGTCCAAGAGCTGTCCTTACATGACGTGAGGCCCCTCCCACCAGGACGGAGGAAGGTAAGGGTTCAGGAAAACAAGCAGTAAGAGGATTTAAAGGACATGCCCCTCTCCCCCCCCGGAATGACCCAAATGTAAACTCCCCTCAAGTCCATACAAGGTTCAATCAGAATCTAACACATGTGAGATTCCCAAATTCGGGAATGTTTGTTTATTAAGTGTTTTTTTTTTTTCTTCCAATGTACCATTTCCAGAGTCCGTTTCTACAAAGGGCGCGATGGGGGGGGTTCCGTTGTGCAAACAATGTATACTGGACATACACTGTATACACAGCGATAAAAAAAAATGAAACCGT